TGGGAGGCACATGTGGAGAAGGCTTTGCGCTTCCCTTCTGCTGACCGGATCTTCAGGATGGTGGAGATGATGTACAGATAGGAGATCAAGGTGATCAGGAAGGCACTAGTACCGAAGACACCTCCAACCACTAGAAGTACCATTTCTGCCATGTAAGTGGAAGAACAAGACAGGGCCACCACTGGAGGGACATCACAGTAGTACTGGTCAACTCGATTCGACTTGCAGAAAGACAGGCTGATGGTGGTCATTGTGTGGAGAAGGGAGTTGAGGAAACCAGCTGCCCAGGTCCCAGTCAGCAACTGTGCACATCGAATATCGCTCATGATAAGGGTGTAACAAAGGGGAAAACATATCGCCACATACCGGTCATAAGCCATGACAGCGAGCAGGAAGACCTCAGTCGCCAATAGGGCCACCAGGAAATAAAGCTCTAAAGCACACCCCCAAAAAATGCAGTTCAGGTGTTTGTCTATGATTGACTGAAGCATCCCTCAAAGGATGCATTCTTAAGAATGTTTTGGAAGTATGTTGAAATGATTGATAAATTAAAAATTGATTGATAGGAGATAGTAGTAGTGGTTAACATTATCCCTATTATTTGGCTAAAAGAGATCTGAGAAATATAACTAATTCTTACACATTATGTGCTTCATAAAAACATTTTATATGACACTGCTTTGGGTAATTGAACATGTATGCTATTATTCTTGCCCTTTATATTTATCTGATTTATTTATAAAATAATTGTGCTAGGCTCCGAGGATAAAAAGAGATCTATAAGACAAAGTTGCCTTCCCCAAGAGGTTCCCATTTAGTTCAAGGTGACATAGACATGGAGCAAATAAAGAGCAGCACATTATATAAATGTGTTTGCTGTTACGTGGCTTGCTATTCTGGTAATTGTAGCAAAGGTTCTAAAATCTTAATGGACAGGGGGAGGTAGAAGAGCTCAGTTTTTGAAAGGACAACTGCATGAGAATAGTTATGGGTGCAGGAATTTGTAGGTCACACAGGAGTGGGTTTTGACTGTAGCAGTGTGATTATCTGTTCTTATCAAAATATGTCACATTATGATAAAAATTTAACAGATGTTATGAGTGTATAGGTCCATGAGATATAGCTTGGTTCTCTGTTTTTCTTTTTGTTATATTTACTATAAATCCTCTTTTACATTTTTTCCTTCTTGCTTCCATAGGTTCATTAATAAATTAAATAGCTCCTACTATGCTTTTCTTTATTAGTAGTTACTGCTCTTTGCCATTATTTTTTATGACTTTTTGTTGGTTTTGATATTCAACTTCTTAATCTTCTCATTTTTGAGTTTACATTTTGTTTTGCTTCTTGTTGACTTATAAATAAATAAAAATGTATTTGATCCAGGTGCTGGTGGCTCATGCCTGTAATCCTAACTACTCAGGAATCTGAGATCTGAGGATTGTGGTTTAAAGCCAGCCCAGGCAGGAAAGTCCAAGATATTCTTATCTCTAATAAAATACTCAGAAAAAGCCAAAAGTGGCACAGTGCCTAAAGTGGTAGAACACCAGACGAGCAAAAGAAGCTCGGGAAGTACCCAGGCCCTGAACACAAGCCTTAGGACCTGGTCTCTCTCTCTCTCTTTCTTACACACACACTCACATGTGCATGCTCACACACTCACTCACACACACACAAATGAATTTGAGTGCCAACTATGTAGGAAAGCCGAAAGGTAATGGTGTTAGAACCTGTGTCTGAGGATTGCTGAGTTTCAATCTGCCTCTATCACTTACCAGCTGTGTAGCCTTGGGCAAGCCGCATAGCATCCCTGGGCCTTAATTTTCAGGGTTGTAAAATAAAATATTAAAAATTATGTCTTTCAGGGGTTATCGATGGGATTGGTGTTGAAGTACTTTCATAGCATGGGACCAAGCTTTGGGTTTGTTTTCCTGCTGTCTCTCCTACCTCCAAAAAAGTGTGGGATGATGATTATTAACCTATTTTGATGTGTCTATCTGAGGAACTAAAGGCTGTGAAAACTTGGATCATGACACCCAAAGTACTGAAATTTTATTATTATTTACTACATTTAAGATGTGAGGCATGAACAAGAAAGACAAGATTTCTACTGACTTAGGGCTATCCTTTCTTATTGTTTTAAGTGTTATGAAAAAAATATCCTAATAAGATGGAGGGATCATTTGTACTGGGACCTGAAGAAGGGCTCAACTACCCCTTTAAAAAAAGGAAAGTATTGGAACCTGTTTTAATTATGGCAGCTGTGATACAGTATAGAGGGAATGCAAATGCTACTGGGGAGAGAAGAAAAAAATGGAAGCAGTATGTTCTCCAAATGAAGGGACTGGAAGCTAAGGCTCTTTAGTTGTGAAGAAAGAAGGCTACATGCCTGTTGGTATTGGGTCCCTAGCCTGTTGTCCTATTTTTCTCTGAGGAATGAGATAATCTGTGGAGATTGGGGAAGGAAGGAAATGGCAGGTGGAGGAGAGGAGGCTCCTTTGAAAGTTTGAGGAGATAAATGAATTTATGAAATGAACTTGTCAGGGATCTGCAGTGAGATTCTAGGCAACTCATAGTGCCCAGTGGGATTTGTGGTCATGAATTTAAAATGAGGCTACTCAGCAGGGTTGCATGCATAAAAACATTTTTCTCAGAAAGATACATTGGCAGTTTATTTTTCTGTGATTTGCACATAACTAAAAATGTGTCCTCTAATCTTCAAACCAAAATATTCCAACTTCCCTATGTGATTAGTCAAGAACAGTTATTAAGCCAAGTGTGGTGGTACACACAGATAATCTCAGTACTTCAGGGGCTGAAGTAGGAGGATCACCAATTTGAGGTTAGCCTCAATAATAATGAGACCCTGTCTCAAAAGAAAAAAACAAAAAAACCCCAAAAAATCAAAAATAAAGTTCTGTTTAATCCAGAAGAACTATTACTAAAACTTTGACAGGTATAAGTTTTATTTTTGAAGTGTTTTGCACTCAGGGCTTCATGCTTGAGCCATTCCACCTTGCATTATTGGTTATTTTCAAGACAGGATTTTGTATAATGTCCAGGCTAGCCTGGGCTTTGATCCTTCTACTTATGCCTCCCTGGGTTGCTGGGGATAACAGGCACATGTCCTAGGACAAGACAGTAGTTGACATGAAAATTTTCCCTGGACTGGTCTTGAACCACCTCATATATAGCTAGGATTACCAGCTTGAGCCATTGTACCCAGCTGTCCAAACCTTTTGAATAGTTTTCTGCTGTGACATGACACCTGCCTGTCACAGTAGCCAGTAGCCATATATGATTTTTGAACTCTTGAAACATGTCGAATGCTTTTTTAACGAACTGAAATCTTCATTTTTATTTGTTTTTCACTATTTATGAGCTGCATATGGCTAGCAGCTATTATTTTGGACAAGAACTGTAGACATTACCATTGCCTTCTGACATTTATTATTGTCGAAGGAATCCAGACTCAGTTTGATTTTAGAAATTTGAAGTTTTATGAATGGTGGATATAGTCTTTCAGACTTCCTTTTAAAAAAAAAATAATGAAACTTATTGAGCACGTGACAAGTTCTTCCCAGATTCTAGAAGTTTTCTTTTAGTATGTCTTTTGGAAGATTCATGATGGACAAAAGCAAACATTTAGAACGTGTGAGTTTGTGTCACTGCTATTCAAATTTTGTGTTGTGTGATCTTGTGGAAAATGCTTAAAATTTTCTTGGAATTATTTTTCTCCAAAAGTTGCAATCAAGTACAAACAGAAATTCCTCTCCCTCCCCTCACCCCCTCCTTGCACTGCTGGATTCATTTGCTTTGGTTTCTTTTTTTCCATCTTTATTTTTTTATTTAAAATTTAATTTTATTGTCAAGATGATGTACAGAGGGGTTACAGTTACATAAGTAAGATAGTGAGTGTATTTCTTGTCTAACTTGTTACCCCTCACACATTTTTTTCTCCCACTTTCCCTACTCCCACCCCTCTCTCCCAAGTTGTACAGATCTACATGTTATTCATAGACTCCTGAGGAGAGCTAACAGAACTTCCTGATTTTTCTTTTTTAGATTTATCTTTTTCCAGTCTTCATTTTTCTTTTGCATGCTGTCTCAAGTTTATTCACCATCCATATCACATTTTCTATGGTGTAAAGAAGGTTTTATATTTCTTTTAGTTAAGTTTAATTTCTTCTTTTGTACATTTTATTTTGTTCTCCACTTTTCTTGTTCTGCAGTCCCTCATTTAATAGAGAAAATATGTTCTTGAATCTTGGTATGAGCAACACACATGTGTGCTCTTTGTATTACAAGCCCTGTATTACAACTCAAAGGAGGGCATCTTATCTGTTCTAGAGAAATATCTTTCTGTGCTTCAAGTTTATTCAGAGATTTCATTTAACTTTTTTCTAGTAGAAACAGAACCAATTCTGTCAGTGTTGGAGATTTCAGGATTATTGTTTTCTCTGTCCATCCCTCTAGTTCAGGGATGGCCAAGTGCAACTTTCTATGTTTTCAGTAGGAAGCTGTGGTGAACCACTGCCACAGTTCCTGGGACTTGGCAAATCAGTTCTGGTGTTTTCTTTTTACTTTAAGAGAGTAGTCCTCAGGATTTCCTTTGGAAAAGGTTTTTTTTTTTTTTTAATGTTTGTAATAAGGTGAGAGGTTGTTGAAATTCTCTTTCAGTAGGTAAAATTTCACCTAAAGAATTAAAAGAGAAATATGCATAATTCTTAAATCTACTGAGGAAAATGCAAACAATAGATTAGGGTTGTTGGTGAAATCCTAATCTCACTTTGCTGTATCTTTCAGAATGAGTCAATTTCTGTCTGTTGGCACCAGGTCCTCTTTTTACACATTCATTTTTCCTTCTCTTTCTGGGGCAAGGGATTTAGTTGATGGTTTAGCCTGGATTTTTCTGTTCACTCATACATCAAAGGAACTATTGGTGAGGTAAAGGCCATGGTATTGTAAAAGAGGTAATTTAAAGAAGTGTCCATTGACTTACTGCAATAGTGGAGATTGAACGCAAGCCTCAAGTGCTCTGCTACTTGAACCACTCCCTTCCTTTGCCTTTGAGACTGTTTTTCAGGTATGGTCTTCTGCTAACTTTGCCGAGGTTGGCCTTGAGTCATCTTCTTTCTACCTTGATTTCCAGCATAGCTAGGATCACAGGCATACACCATGACTACTTTCTTTTTTTCCCTTTATAATTGTGAGAAATTCATATCTTCGCTTTACTTTTTTTTTTCTGGTACTGGTGCCAGGGTTTGAACTCAGGGACTGGGTGCTGTCCCTTAGATTTTTCTATCAGGAGTAGCATTCATTCTACCACTTGAGCCATAGCTCTTCTTCCAGCTTTTGCTGGAAGTAGATAAGAGTCTCATGATCTTCCTGTCAGGGCTGGATTAGAATTGTGATCCTCACATCTCAGATTCCTAAGACCCACTGGCACCTAATTTAAAACTGAATTTTTTTTTGTGCCCATCTTGGGGTTTGC